CGTCATACAACCACAACAATTTTACACCGAAGATACCAAGTAATTAAATGATTATGAATAAGAAATCTGTATCTTTGTGCGCGTTGCTTATCTGTATCTCTATAATCATGTACATCATCGTCAGAGGAACTTACGTGGATTCATTAGAATAAATCGATGAATAAATAAAGGATGTCGCATGGAAATGAAATTCATTGATAATGAATAAAATATGCAGTATAAACGTATTGGCGGAAAGACAGCCGCCGGTGTCTTATATTAGCATTGACACAATGTCCCTAAGACACATATAGTGTGCCCATGCAATCATGGTTCACTGGTGATAGATAACAGAGATAAATATCATCTGTATGTTGTTACGTACATTTATTACGCAGAATACACTCAATCTTCTGTTGCTCAGGGTCTTGAACTAGTAAGCTGAGATCAAAGACATCGACCGTCTACTTGTAATGCAGACCTTCACAGCTCGAAACAACAATACTCAGTCATGCGACACGGAATTTACCGCAAATCGACATTTTTGTTCGATTGTTTTGATTGCACTGCTGCAAACTAAATCCACACTTCTCCAAGATTTAACAGCACGCTGAATGTATATGTGTGTTACTGAGCTCAAAATATATATGGTTTATGGAGCAGAGCTTTCCCTATAATATATATATGTATTCTCTACACACATTTACATATTCTGATAAGATACATTCGTGTTATTAACATAAATTAGTTTAGAGTATTCCATGATCGGATTGCCATGTGACTGACCCTAATGTCAATTACATGAAGTGACCGACGCCGTCTGAAAGACGTTTACTGGTGTTATATTACGGCTCCTTGATAATCTCCTGAGACATGTCCTGGGACGTGCCTGAATTAATTCACTATTGTGCATGCGTAGAATAAGACGCACACGTGACAAACATCTCATCACGATAAAAGCCAGAAGCAACCATATTAGTTCGGTTATTATGTGTTCTGCAATCTATGCTTTGATTGGAATACCAAATAATCTATCTGAGTTTGAGACGACGACCATTCGTGGACTTAATGGCCACATTAACTAATTTTATGCCGAAACCTACGTTTGTCGCTTCTAGCAAAATAAAGCATAATGAGCAAGCAAAAAGTTATTATGTCCATCTAGCACAAAATATAAACACCCTGAATGTGCCAAAAAATGGTTGTTAGACGGTTACTCTTACCTCTGCTCAGCAACCTTCGCGAAATGCATCATGGGACCATCTCCAGGTGATACTTCCATCTCCAAGTGATGTATCCTGAATATATACGTCTAGAAGATTACGTAATTCGACCCAGATACCAGTTGGCCATCTAAAGAAAAACAGCGCATTTATGAATAGCATGTAGTAGGAGAACCACGAGAACGTAAAGAACTAATCAAAAAATCTATGAAAAGCTCCCGTGTGCTGAATGCTTAGGAATGAATCGAAAATATTAACACTCTTCCATGTTGTTTTGAAATATGAATTGATAATCTAATTAGTTCTGATGACTCAGAAGTCAACAACTTACAAAACTAAAGATAATTTAGTATAATACTTCTTACCAACACGTGTAAATTGAATACGCCCCATTCCATTCCACACGTACAAACATATACTAGTATATTCGCATCCTTCCTCATGCACCATCAGCTAAGGCTAACCTTCCTCTTTTACAGGCAGCCGTCATTCATTCAGTCGCCAGTGGCAGTTACGAGATGTGAATTTATACAGCATGACACGAATTCGATTGTGCTTCTACACACGTGTTTGTCAATAGTACATTTCTCATGTTCCGTGTTGCAAATTTCCGTCGACATCCAATTATTCAGTGTGCAACTAATTCTGACATTGAATCATGTATGTGTCAACTCAGATCTTGAATAAAACACGCGAATCGTTGGATTCGATACTTTGCACTGGTTATCCGATTTTTATGTACGTACTTAAAGTTACTTTATTGATACACATACATAGATTACACGTTTATAAATTCAACATAACTAATGTTCTCAAGCATTTTATATTTAGATCTGTGTCTCACCTGATGTCCTTCTGCTCTTTAGGATACATTTCCAAAGTTTCGTCGCATAAAAGAAGATCAACAATTTCGTTATCAGTGAGGCCGTTCTTGGAAGCTGTTAGATAGGTTAAAGCTCTCTCTTCCACTTGCTTTGAAGAATACGTGTTCAGTGAGTATTCAAACAAACTTGTTATCTCAGTGGAGGGAATATCCTGTGTGGAAGATAATAATTGCATTCAATTTTATCCTACACCCATTAACCAATTAATCACACCCATTTCGAGATATTTCATTGCCTAATTAATTGTCATTATACTTTAATCAGATTGAGCGTTTTTACATAAACTTGTTTGTAGGTTTAGTCAGTTATTGAATTCTATCCATGGATATCATGGGCAGTTACTGTGCAGAACATGCACCATAAACACACACACACACAAACCACATAGTGAACACATTCTGCAATAAGCATAAATTTAAGATTATAAGCGTTAGTAATGGACATAAATATCGCATATATAAGTGGATCGCCAGTTTAGGGAAATCCGCCAGTTACCCGCCACCGTTATGTTCACTTATGATTATTTCAACAGCAAATGAAATATATAGGCATCAGTCAAAATGGATGAAACGCCGCCTGTTGTAATGAAGTTCGATAATCGAACGTTTCTTGCACTTTGCTATAATTGTCAAATCAATAAATTCAACGCTAAGTGTTAAATAAGGCACTGACAGGCAACCGATAAGTACAAAACCTTACACACGACAGAACAGTCCGCGACAAGACCGTAGAGTAATAACACGATTTTCCTTTTAAATTGAAGTGTTCCAGCCACTTAACATTGAGTGAAGATAAAGACAATGTTTACTCGGCATTATGTGCCATAAAAGTATCAATGCTGCTATTGATTGAATAATGGGTGAAAACATTCTGTCTTATATATCATTGAATGAATGAGTGTTATACAGGCAATTACGTGAATGGGCGTATAAGCAGCGTGCTAAGATTTATATATCTTCTTGTACATTGCGTAACGATGGTAAATTTGAATGCAAGACGTATACTTAGTGTGAAATAGTATGTTTTTAACATTTCCACTCTCATCAAACTGAATCAATTATCATTTCAGATCTCTACAATAATATCAAGGGATTTTCTGCTCTGTGTGTATTTTTCAAGAAACTTTCCTTTACAAAATAATTCAACTTGGCAGAGATTTAATATAATTGCATACATGTTGTATGTAACGTACAAACATTTTTTTGTGTATTATATAGTTTTGCATATTAAATATGCAGCTGTCGTTGTTAAAATGTGTGCATAATAAATGTAGTTATATTCTACAGATATATGCATACTTTATATAATGACGCCATTCTACTGTCAATCCACAATTCAACGATTAGAAGTATGAATTCATCATTTTAATTACGTACCTTGGGACCATCAAAAGACTTCCAGGTGCAACACTCATGCAGGATGCAACGTAGATACAGAGGCTCGCACCTCTTATTCAATACTTTAAGTATTCCTTGTTCTTGCTCAGGTGTTAGAGTTCGACCTGCATCTTGTAACCATGTGTGAAATATGGAGCTCAGCTAAAGGAGTTGAATGAATAAATCAATTTTACATAGCCAAGTTACTGAGACTTGAATTTCATTAAAAACAAAATAAATACCCATACACGGCGATACATCGCATCTACATTCATGGTGAACCATTGTCTCCAAGTTACCACAGTCTGTGCGCAGCTCGTTCGACATTCGTGTAAACAAACACAGTATGTTACATGCGTTGTATACGTCGCGTGGGACTCGTATCGAGGCACGACGCGATGTGATGACTTTATACTGTTTTTATGAAGAACACAGTTCTGTCAATATGACGAATTTAAATTAAAACACAACATATACCTTTGACATTTACCCCCCTCCAATACTCATAGCATAAACTATTGGCATTTTTCAAATGTAACAAATATAGTTACAGTAAATGCCAATATCCATAACACTGCTGACCTTACCTCTTCTTTGCAAAGCGAAGGTATTTCCAAAACGTTTCGCTCTGGAATGAACGACTTCAGTAGGTGTTGTAATTTTGGAGTCCGTACAGCAGATATCACCATTCTGATGTTGCGATTAGGAAAGGCCCTCCTCAACCATAGTAATATATTGTCGAGAGAAACCGGTTCAATCTGAAAGGGCAATAATGATGAAAAGTTACAGAATAATTATTCCAAACTAATAAACCTCGTGTGTTATATTTAACATTTATTTTTCATTTTACTGTGTCTCATGAGTATAAATGTCAAAGTATATCACATGAATTATTGTTCAGAGGACACAGACATGCTTAATAATTTATCAACAGCGATTGCAAGAATCATATATTCTACCTTATGAAGTGAATGTAGAAATATCCAAAGTGGCTTCTCTCTTTCCGCAAGCCTTAGGCAAACTTCAAACGCATCACACAGGTTATGCAGATCATAGTTTTGATTCTCGGCAACATTGCTCCCAAAGGCTCGTGCAATCTGTCAAAATATATACACATTACAACGGTTATGATACTGTATTTTGCATGTCATATCTGCATATGCATACCGACAAGTTAAATATATTTTGAAATAATCAAAAGATCATTCCCGCCGTATGACCACTCTGTAAACTGGTAACAATTCTCAGAAATACTGTAGCTTATTTGTCTAACTATATAATACATGTTATCATGCACGAACATATTTCAACCTTGCTGTATCACCCATGTATATAATATATATACATGTCCTCCACCATGTGCTTAATTGATGTTTACATATTCAAAGCTAATTGCATAAACTGGTCTAGATAGTATGTACAGATCAAATATGAATACA